ACCACAACAGAGGGCAAGAAAACATTCTTATGAACTTGTAGAGTACATGTAATGCTAGCACTGTGATTAGCATATGCATTTTGGGTAGTTCAGTTGTCGGCCATGCTGCAATGCGGAGTGCAAGAGTTTACTCTGTAAATGATACTGGCTATGAATTTGATCCCGTGAGGAGTCCTTTGGGGCAGGTATATTTTTCTCATGGTCAACAGTTTTACACATCACCTCCACATTAGTGTCTTATATGCTCAGCTAAGAATCAAAACATTGTGTTGTTCAGGGAGGAACAGGAATTTCCATGGTTTGTTGAACTCAGAAAGGCTTCACTACATCTCAGATGCAGAATTGTGTAAATATATATGAACTTCTGTAATTCCAGAAGGAGCATTTGAGTTTTGTACTGAGAGCTTCCATTTCCTCACCAACCTTTCCATCCTTAACCCTGCGTGGTACATGTTCTACTTGCATCATTCTATGAACGAAATAAGATGTGGATACAGAAACTGGATTATCAAAATTTTATTCATTACCTGATTCCAGATGTAACTTGTATTTATAGAGAAAACTGGAAAAAGCACAAAGAAAATGAAATATGCACAATCCTACCGACTCTTAGTTAACTTTGGGAATATTTCCAATTAATCTCTTTTATGTGTACCAATATACACTCTGTTTTATAAAGGAAATGCCAAAGGTCAGATGCTGATTTGGAGTCTGTTTTGTACACTTACAATTCTATCAGTTACATTGATATTTTAACATTGCATGCTGCATAGGATTCCCATAAATTCCTTACTACTGTTACCAGACAATTAGCATTTCATATTTTGCCAAAATTTTACATCTTTGCTCACAGCTCTGATGATTTCCTTGGGATAAACTCTAAACAGAAGTGGTGGTGTAAAAGTCATGTCCATTTTAAAACTTTTAACGTACAACAAAGTTATATTAAAAACTAAAAATTTGAGGATGCTGCTACTCCCAATACGTTTACTCACAATTGCTGACATTTTGATTCTTTGCCAACTAAAGAACAAAATGTCAATCTCTCCCCCTCACCCCCACCCTCCCCTACCTTCCCTCTGAGTTTTGAGCATCTGATAGATGCTTCTCTGTCTCTACATCTGTTTTTGTTCATCCGTTTATGTTGTTCATTATAATCCACAAATGAGTGAGAGCATGTGATATTTATCTTTCTCTGACTGACCTATTTCACTTAGCATAATGCTCCCCAGCTCCATCCATGCTGTTGCAAATGGTAGGAGTTCCTTCCTTTTTACAGCAGCTCATTCTTAATGTTCCAGAATTGAGATGGTTTCACCACAAAAGTTCTCCCTCTTACCAATTCCTACTCATCCCACCAATCATGGCATTAATCACACTCAGGAATTTGACACTTGATACACCCTGTCCTTAGCCTTTTCCAAACATATGTATTTTGTCTTCAATAAAACATTTAGTTCCAAAATGGCAAGGGTCCTATAGGTTGAGACCCAATATCCTTAAGGCATGGCGTTTAATAATGTACCTTCCCAGGGGCCTCTCAAGGGACTAGGGGCAGAGGCATTTATATTGGGGTTGGGGGTGCAGTGGACAAACTATCCTGGTGATTTTGAAATCTACCAGGCCTTGAGAGGATTCAGTAGCAGACCTTCAACCACAGAAATCTCAACGATTGTCCCTAATTATGCGTGATTAATGCCAAATATGAGTAAGGGCCCTGGCTCTGTTATCTGTAGAAATGGGGTGTCCACTGGCAGAAGTGGGGGACCCCTTTCCCCACTGGGTGCTTAGGGCCGGGTCCTATGATATCTCAAGAAAAAGAATTTTCTGAGACTCCATCTGCGTGCTGGTCTCTAGGCAACCTTCTGTCTGGACTCTGAGTTTCTATTCTCAGGTCTATTCGCTTTATTCTTCCATCCAGGTGTCCCGGAAAGGGGCAATGAGGACTGGGCCAGCTCTCGTTTCCTTTCCGCCCTTTATAGGTGGGGTGATAACTGCCTGTTTAGGGACATGGCAGTGAATCACCATTTCCAGCAAACCTTGGCAGGTAGAAGAATGGTCCACACAGGCCGGGGCGGAGCCTGAGCAGCCAGAGGACAGGATTGGGTTAGACCTCGCCAGGCCACGCCCCGTTCCAGCCCGCCATTGGCCCCGCCCTACTGTGATGTCAAGGTCCAGACCACGCCCACCAACGGTAAAGAACTTGACACCTTTTGAGTCTGGGGATTGTTGCGTCTGGTACAGGCACTCCAAGAGGCAAATACTCAAGGTCCCTCGGGTTTCCCGCTGATGTCCAGGACAATGATGGCATCTTACCAGCCTCGCAGGGCATCTTCCCGCCGCCTGGAGAGGCCCTTTTCTTGGGGCTTCCTTGGGATCCTAGTGCTGGCCCTAGAGCTCCTGCTACCCACATGCTCAGGTAGGGAAGGGGAAAGGGTGCAGCTCTGGAGGGAAACTAGAGCGGGTAGGGGAGCTGGCCTACAGGAGCAGAGGGCAAAGGGAACTTTGCTTGGTGTGTGGGGGAGGAGGCTCAGGGCTTGTGGACCCAAGTGATGCGTGTTCAGGGTAGAAGCCTTAGCCACAGATCTTCCTGGTTGTTCTGTGGGGGACCCAGAAGTGAGGGGGGACTCAGAGTGCCCGCGGTGAGGGTTGTTAGGTGGTAGGCACAGAGCCTTGCAGAGCCCTGGGTGCAGTCAGTGTTTGCTGGGGGCCAAGCTGTGTCCCTAGCAAAAGCCGGCAGGTGTTTGGGGACTGAACTAATCAAGATGTCATAGATTAACCAAAGAATAAATATGCATATATGCATAACCCATGGACACAGACAATAGTGTGGGGAAGGCCAGGAGTGGGGCGGGGCTGAGTGGATGAGGGCAAAGGGGTGGGGAAATGGGGGGCATGTTTAACAATTAAAGAAAGGAGATGGGAAGCCCTGAGCAGGTGCTGAAGGTGCGGGCCTGCTCTTCAGTGCCCAGTGTGTGGGGTGTTTTTTGGGCCAGTGCTGGGCCCGTGGGGAGGCTTCCCTCTGTGTCCCCTTGGCTCAGTGAAGCCTTGGTGAGTGGGGTGCTGCACCCCACTGGGTTGGGCTGGGGGATCCCAGGCCTGGTGTTATCAGGCGTATGCTTTACAGAAGGGTCCAGGTCAGGGGTGCAGGGTGTGGGGCAAGGAAGCTTACTGCTTGCTTTGTATGGGGTTTGGGGAGTGCGTGTTACCCAGAGAGCCCTTAAGTGAGAGCGAGCTCCAGGGCCTGGGATCTAGAAGAATTAGGAAGGACACGCAGTGCTTTTTGTACAAAAAGGTAACAGGCTGCTTGTTGCCCCCAAATCATATAGGTATTGGTTTCCAGGCTGTTGCTTGTTTTTAACTCTGGAGATCCTTTCTCATTCTCATCCAATATCAGTAATATGTTATGCTACTTCCCAATGTCTTTGGGCAATATTTTTTCTTTTTTTCACTAGGTTGGGTCCCATTTAAAGGGATATTAGAAGCAACCTAAAAAATACTGGTAGCAACAATTAGTGAGAGATGAGTCATAAGAAAGAACAATAAATAACATCAATAAGCTTTTCCCCTATCTCTGATAAACTAAAGCTGAAAGCCATCCACTAAGTTTGATTTGTGTTTCACTGAATACAATCAATACATATATACATATATATGCTTATTGTAGAAAACATATACAATCAAAGGACAAACATGGAATACTTTATATTTCCAACTGTCGTTGTGTGCATATGTGCTTCTATATCTAAGTGATTTTTAGGATCCTATTATATAGAGAGTTTCTATGCTGCATTCTCTCCTTAGGAGAATTCATTCAATAAATTATTTGCCTTGTATGTGCCAGATCCTGTGCTGGTTTTGGGGACACACTGGTGACCAATAACAAGCCATTCCTATTTTCATGATCCTTATTTGACACTTTGCCTGTTTGCACACGCACACACATGAACATAAGCAGTGACTGTATTTTGCTCACTGTTAGATCCCCAGTGTCAGGCGCACAGTAACAATCAATAAAGATTTGCTGAAATGTACTGGGACTGGCAGACAGTAACCAGACCACAATGCTAGTGTTATAACCCCAGTCAGGTGCCCTGCAGGAAGGAGCATGCTTCTCTGAGAGCATTTAACAAATGACTGTTGGGAGGGAAGGCTTTTCTGCTCAGAGGCCACACTCTGTCGCTTTGGGGCTTCTGCACTTGCTGTCCCCAGGCTCCTCCTTGCTCTTGCATAATTCGCTCCTTGTCCTTCAAACTGAGGTGCGATGATATCCCCTCAGCCACCTTCTCTGAGCAAAATATCTGAGAGACCCACACACTCCAGCTCAAATACCCCTGACTTGTTGTCCCTCTACCCAAACTATCTTTTCTGTCCTAGCTCTACTAGAATGCAGAGATCCTTTGTGGCTTGTCACACTTATGTTAGCAAATGCTCAATCTCTTTTCCTTGATACAACCACTCCGTTATAAGTGCCAGAAATATGAAGCATAATATTAAGTGGGGGCTGACAGCCCAGTAAAAATTCAAATCCAACAGGAACACAAAAAACTACCTTGAGAAAAATGAAAATAAAAACAAAACCTTTCAAAATGTATAGGATACAGCAAAAGCAGTCATATGATGAAAGTATATACCTATAAGGGCCTTCCTTCAGAAGCAGATACAATTCCAAATAAACATCTAATTTACATTTAAAGGGACAAAAAAATGGGAAGGATACATACCTACAAATAGTATTTTGAAACCAAAGTTATTGCTGCTGTCTCTTCAGTTTACTGTTGAAAGAATATTCAGGTTAATCTCAAAGAAACCAAAGCTAATAGAATGTTATTTAAAGCAAGCACAGCTCATCATCTTGTAAAAGCCTGGCACAATCACTTAAAATCTCACCAAGGGCTTTCCATTTATTCCATACAACCTGCCTACTGCCAGGCCGTTCTCCCAGGCTGGCAAAAAAGAGAAAATACTTTAGTTTTATGTTGTTATTCTCTCATGCTCAGATGCCTGTTGTGAGCTGCCAAGATTTGAATCTATGAAACCCAAGGGTGATCCTACACCCCCTTACAATCCTGGGTACCAGGTAAAATATGAGTGTCGCCCAGGATACAGGCGTCGTTTTCCCATTCTTCCTTCCTCTGCTGTTTGTCAGCCTGATAACACCTGGGCACCTCCTCTCCAGGAGGCCTGTACAAGTAAGTACACAACATTTTTTTATTTTTATTGCTCTAAAGATTTTCACACATTTTAGATGGCATATTCCCCCATTACCATGATGGTTTTCTCAGATGGATGTAAATTTAGAATCTATTTTTTCAGGCTTTGAAAATCTCCAGGAAATTTTTTATTTGGCCATTGATGCTATGCGTAAATGTGAATCTTAAGTTTGACCATTAACGGCAACATGGATGGACCTTGAGAACATTATGCTAAGTGAAATATGTCAGTCATAAAAAGCTGAAAACTACGTGATTTCACTCATAAAAGAGATATAAAACTGGAACTCATAGACACAGACAACATTTTGGTGGTTACCAGAGGGAAGGGTGGGGATTTGCGGGGGTAGCAATGAGTAAAGGGGACCAAATATATGTAACAGAAGATGGTTTGACTTTGGGTAATGAGAGCACAATGCAATATACAGAACATGTACCCTAGAAATGTACACTTGAAACCTATATAGGCTTATTAATCAATGTCACCCCAATAAGTGTAATAAAAACAATCAAGAAAGAAAATATTTCCATGCGTTTCATAGAGCAATGTAGAATTTTCATTTTGATTCAAATATGTTTTGTCATTGGTATAAAACAACAAATTTGCAATTTTTCTTTTAGAAAAGTCATGTCCACAGCCAAGAGAACCTCCAAATGGCAAAATAGTCTACATTAGTGAAACTCTGGAGTTTGGCGCAGAAGCTCACTATGCTTGTAATGAGGGGTAAGTTGCTCCTTGAAGGAATAAGGTAAATGTTGCTGGTTCCATTTTTGGTTTGGTTCTCTTCTCAAGCATTTCCATGATATTGATTTCATCTTGCTTTCTGTGGAACAAGTTGTACTTATAGCCAATCAACCCTTGGAGACTGAAAAGATGTGCAACAAATAGAAAGAAATTTAAATTGAAGGAAAGCACAATTGTATCTACGTATAATATAAAAGGCTAATATGCTAAGTGTTTGACCATAGGGTAATGACGTCATGTAGCAACGGCCAGCTTCCTCTCCCTAGTGACCACTAGCGTCCTTACAGTTTCTTCAGCCCAGGAACACCCAGGTGGAAACATTTTACACTGTAACCAAATGTCTGTGAAGCGTTTTCCCAGGCCTCATCTCATTTGATCCTCACAGAAGTCCTGGAGTAGGTGGATAGGAGACTCAGCGGAATCCTATTTTCTTTTCATTAGCCAGGAAATGGAGATTTAGAAAGCTTAGAAACTTGACCCAATTGAAAAGAAGAAATGGTGGACCTTGAAAATGACTTCAGGTTTTCTCACTGCGCAGAATATAGTCAAACACTGCTGCAGCCCTAACTGGTTTGGCTCAGTGGATACAGCATTGGCCTGCGGACTGAAGGGTCCCGGGTTCAATTCCAGCCAAGGCCACATGCCTGAATTGTGGGATCAATCCCCAGTAGGGGGCATGCAGGAGGCAGGTGATCAATGATTCTCTCTCATCATTGATGTTTCTATCTCTCCCTCTCCCTTCCTCTCTGAAATCAATAAAAAAAATATATATTTAAAAAAAACAACAACACTGCTGCAGTTAAATATTTTACCCTTTGTTCTCCCTGTGTGATCTACAATAATAATCTGCTTCGTCTTGATATATTTACTGCTGTGTTGCTGACAGTTACCTGAAAGAAAAGTTGGGGTGCTTCACTGGGCTGGAAAAAGTTTAGCTAACTTTTTAGGAAACAGGTCTAATTAAGGAAGTTTATTCTATATCTATAAAAGGCTAAGTTGACTGGTGCATAAGTGATACATATAAAGCTCTCACTGGCGCAAATCGCACGCCTATGTTTCCATCTGTCATTGTGGATTGTGAATTTGGTTCACACTTCCATTATAGAGAAAGGGCGAATAGCGATATTAAAATATTTCTTCTAATTAATTTCCTTTCAATGTGCATGACTTCGTGCACTGGGCCACTGGTCATATAATAAGTAATAATAAGCCTATCATAGTCATTAAAAATGTAGTAATTATGGTGACATGGTCCAAAATTAAACTATAGTAGGCTGGAGGGTGGGCAAGAGAGAGATGGGGAGTTAGTCAATTAACAAAAGAAAGGGCAGAAACTCAGGAAATGTGTGTTGAAACTTTGAGCCATCATTCAGACCTATTTCAGAATAGTGTGGATGTAAGAGGGAGTATAGCTCCTATTCAGTCAGGGGTAGCTGACCACCAGATTTCACCTCATCCAGCTTCCACATGAACTTTTCAGACTGTCCAACAAACAGTCCAAAAGCAGCAAACACTTCTTCCTCCCATCTATGCACCTATCCCAGAACTAGCCCCACTTACCCTTCTTCTGCCCACTTATCTATAGCCAATGTGAATTCCTTCAAAATAACTTACATCTTTCTACTCAAAGCTGTAAAAGAACCCCATTAAACCAGAATGGCAGAAATGCTTGCCTTCATCTCCCTGCTGCTGGTGGATTAGACTGCATGCCCCTGACCTGGTTCTTTTTGCTGGTGACTGTATGGCTAGTCAGTAAACCTGTTCCTTCAGGAAAACCTCAGTCTGCGAAGGTTTTGTTTCACAACTTTATCCCATTGTGGTCAGAGAAGATACTTTGTATCATATCTATCTTTTTAAGACGTATTGATTGGTTAATATTAATTTGTGGCTCATCGTATAGTCTATCGTGGAAGATGCCCCATGTGCATTTGAGGTGAATGTATGTTCCGTTCCATGGTGCTCTATGCCTGTGAGATCTAGTAGTTGAAGTCCTCTATTTTCAGTCTTACTTATTTCAGCCTAGTTGTGCTATCTATCATTGTGAGTGGGTTATTGAAGTCTCCCAACTATTACTGGAGAAACGCCTATTTCATGGAAATGGGTCTTTCTCTCTAAACTTTTGTCAGGTTTTGCTTCATGTATTTTGAAGGCTTGTCATTTGGTGCATAAATGTTTGTAATTATTATATCTTCTTGCAGTCTGTAAAACTAATTAAAATATAAGGTGCTTCTTGTCTCTTATAACCTTTTCTGAATCAAAGTCTATTTTGCCTGAATTAGTATAGTGATGCTACCCTCTTTTGGTGACAATTTGGGTGGAAGATCTCTTCCCATCCTTTCACTTTGAACTTGTTCATCTCTACGAATCCAAAGTGAGCACATAGGTGGATCTTTTGTTTGTATCCATTCTGCCCACATCTACATTTTGATTGTCGGATTTAATCTATTTCAATTTAAAGTAATTACTGACAAGGAGGGCGCTGTTTGTTTGCTTAAAGCTTTTTTTAAATTTTATTTTGCCCCTCATTTTGTGCAATTATCTTTTCATTTGCTAGATTTTGTAATGAAATATTGGAATTCCTTTCTCAGTTTCTTTTATATATATTCTATAGTGATTTTGTTTGTAGTTCCCATGGGGATTACTTTTAACATGCTGGAGTTATAACACTGTCATTTTAATTTATACCAACTTAAACTCAATAAATTGCATCCTCATTCCTTTGGGTTGTTAATATCATCCTATCATCTACAATAATAATTGAAATCCTGGCTTCTACACTATATATTTTCATTGTATGCTTTGTTTCTTAATTCACATAGAAGATAAACATGCATTTACAGACCATTGTTACAAAATACTAGATTTAATAATTGCCCATGTATATACCTTCAGTGAGATGTTGATTCATATGGCATGACTTAATGTAACCAAAATATTTATGGTTGGATGCCTGCTGCAATAAAACCCAAAAATCTCCGATGATTGTAATTCACAGAACTCTCTCCTCCTTCTGGATTTTCCTTATAATGAGACAGACACAGGTGCAAAAGGAAAGAGGCTTTATTCAAGTGCCCGAGACCTGGAACTCACAGCTCAAAGGTCATCTGACCATCCTGTCCAAGCTCACAGAACTTATATGAATAGAGAGGGGAGGGATTTTTTTAATGCAATTATCTTGCTACTTTTTGGCACACTCGGGTCCTGTCCATTCGTCGTTATAGCTTTTGGTGCACTTAGTGGAAGAATCTTCCCCAGTACCATCGTGGCCATTAAGGGAAACTGCCTTATACTAGGACTGACTGTCTAGACAACATTACTCACTAGTGTCCTTTAATTTCATCTTTTAGGACACACTTGAGCATTTTTGCAGGTGAGGTATAGTGGTAGCATATTCTCTTAACTTTCATTTCTGGGGAAGTCTTAATATTTCCCTCACTTTTGCAGCACAGTTTTACTGTAGAGAGGATATTTGGTTGAACTTTTTTTTTATTTGTGTCTATTAGTTCAATGTCTTCTGGCCCCCAAATTCCTGATGAGGTATCTGCTGACTATTTAGCCTCCTTTTCCTGGATTTTGGCTTTGACATTCTCAGTGGTATCACTGGGCTCAACCTGCAGAGGGACGGTCTTGCCCATCAGGGTAATCCCAAATACCCGCATCTCTGCAACTGCCATCAGCTGCCTCAGGAAGGGAAAGAGGACTAAGGAAGTGGAAACTGCAGGTCTGTCCCCAAGAGGGCCTGCGAAAGATGTACATGCAGCTTCACTGACTATTTCCAAGTCTTTTGTCTAGTACGTGTCCCCTCAGGGCTTTTTCAGGAATATTCTTTTTGTTGGTTTATGTTTTCCATTGAATGGGCCATACTTTCCTGTTATTTTATATGCCTTATAATTTTTTGTTGAACTGGACATTTGAATGTAATAATGAGGTAACTCTAAATATCAAATTCTCACCATTTCCTAGGGTTTATTGTGTTATGTTATTGTTTTGTTTTTTGATCGTTGAAGTGTGTCTCTGTGCTGAGGATCAGCCTGACATGTAAACTGAGCCTTCTTCTGGGCATGCGCATTCCCTCTACTTGTCCCTGAAAGGTTCGGGTGTGGGCCAGCGTCACCAGGAACGGACTCAGGGCTCACTGAAATCAAAATATTTATTCCAGGCACGTGGGTGCAGGTGGTCTGACTCGAGAAACAGTCAGCGGTGAATTGGGGAGGAAGCAGGCATTTTATGCGCTGGGGAGAGCTGCAAATGGGGCTTCGGCTTGACCCAGGTATCAGGACTCTACCCCTGTGTAGTTTCAGGACCTTGCCCTTTGTCCATCTCCTGGCACCAGACGTCCTTTCTCAGGGGCAATGACATCAGGCAAATACTAGCAGTGAAATGGTTGTCTATTTGAGAAGGCATATTTTTGGTGCTTCCTACCCTGCCATCATCCCAGAATTCCCTCCTAATACATTATAAGTCAGTGAATTAGCCTTGGAGGAAAAGTCAGCTGGAAGCATGAATAGGCGGTTTTACTCACTATATTTAAACGAGATCAAGTGAGAATATCCAATCAATAGTAGAGAGAAAGTCTACCTTTTGAACTACCAAAAGGTTAGGGCAGAGACCAGCAATTCTCAACCCGTGTGCCACAGAATTTTTAAAACATGCAGTACCTGACCATTTAGTTGGCGCACTCACCTCTTAGACTTTCAAATAAAACCTGACAGCTGCCAACACAATAATAGCCAACCAGTATGAATGAATCAAAATTATACCTATTCTTTTTGCCAGATGGGCAAAAAATATATATTTTGGTGTACCTCAGAATTTTAGTAATTATTTTATGTGTGCGATGAGATGAAGAAGGTTGAAAATGGTGGACATAGATTATTCTCAAAGAAGTTTTAGCCTCATTGAAAAGCACAATATATACATAGTGTCCAATAAAATAATAAGTGGGAATTACCACAGAAATAGACTTATTCAGGCTCATTATAAGGAGAGTCCAGAAGGAGAAGAGAGTTCTGTGAATTATAATCATCGGAGATTTCATGGAGGAGGGGTCGTCCTGAGCTCTACTTAGGAAGATACCCTTAATCTGAGGAGTATTCATTACACCAAAAACTTGCCTAGCACTCCTATGTTCCTGATGCTAATACACCTACTACTCAAAACCACCCCACGAAGTATATACATTTCCACAGATGGGGAATTTAAGAAAGGGAACCAGCCCTAGCCGGTTTGACTGAGAGGTTAGCACCAGACTGTGGACTGAAGGGTCCCAAGTTTGATTCTGATCAAGGGCACATACCTGGGTTGGGGACTCGATCTCCAGCCCAGGTCAAGAGACAACCCCATGGAGGTGTCTCCCTCACATCCATGTTTCTCTCTCTCGGTCGCTCCCCCTGCCTTCAACTCTCCCTAAAAATTAATTGAAAAGATACAATTGGGTGCGGGTTAACAAAAAATTAAAAAATAAAGAGAAACATTAAGCAACTTGTCCAAGCTCAACAAACAAGTCAGTCTTGGAGCTGGGACTTGAATGCAGTCAGGTCAGCGCTTGGGCCAGATCTCGCTGCTGAGTCGTTGCCCTGGCAGAGCAGAGTGGCATTAGCAAGGACACAGATGTGACAGTGTGCTGTGCCTGCCAGAGCTAGCAATCGCCAGACTGTCAGGCGTGACAGGTTTATTTAGACACTTTGCTCTAGGCCAACGTGTGTTCATATGAAGAATCTCTGCGTTTGATTACATTGCAGATTCAGTTAACACATTCTATACCTGTCACTTCAGAAACTTCTCCCTGAAGCTACTGTAGTGCCGAAAAACAACCATATAAAAACTTCTTCATTATTATGTGTTCTTGTTAACTGATAAACAATAATCATTTCTTTTCTCATTTAGGTATTCCTTAGTTGGAACAAAAACTCTACATTGTGAACTCTCTGGAAATGATGTGGAATGGAGTGAGGAGCCACCGCATTGTGAAAGTAAGTACATTCTGTCTTTAGAATTTAGAGCAGCAGTCCTGAAACTTTTTGGCCTGGGGACCCCTGTATTCTTTACAATTAACCAAGACCCCACAGAGCTTTTCTGCAGGTGGGTTAGTGCTATTTATATTCTTTACATTTGGGATTAAAACAGAGACGTTTATAATAATTATGTACTAATTCATTTTTAAGAACAATAAACTCAATACATATTAACAAATGCAATATATTTTTTTGTAAGATCAAACGTTTCCAAAACAGTGGAGTGTCATTCCTTTACATTTTTAAAAAATATTTTTTTATTGATTTCAGAGGGGAAGGGAGAGCAAGAGAGACAGAAACGTCAATGATGAGAGAGAATCATTGATCAGCTGCCTTCTGCTCGCCCCGCACTGGGGATCGAGCATGCAACCAGGCATGTGCCCTGACCGGGAATCGAACCGTGACTTCCTTGTTCATAGGTGGATGATCAACCACTGAGCCCTGCTGGCCGGACACTTTACATTTTTTCTAATCTCTTCAGTACTGGCTTCAAGGAAGAGCTCCACATTCATCCTGCGGCTTATCAGACAGTCTCAGGCCATTGGAAAATGTCACTGTCCGCTCTCAGGGTGACAGTGAGAAAAGACAAAATCGTGGCATCCCTGAGAACCACTGACTCAGGAATGGATGTAGCATTTCTCAACTAGCACTGAGTCTTCCTAAGTCATAAGTTTATTTTCTCATTAAATTGTTAGTGTCTCTTATACTTAGAAAAACTTAGTGTGGCCTCACAGATAAATACAGGTGTTTCATACAGGTATCTTCTATGGGTATTTTAAAAAATGGGCTTCTTCTAAATTTTCAATTCTCTATTGATGGTTTGAATTGGGATAATACACTTCTTTCTATAAACTTTGTTTCAAATGGATTTTGAATTTGCAACTAGATGTAGAAATCATATGGTAATGAACTTATTGAAGGTAGTTCACAGGCTATTACTAATGCCGTCTTAATCTTTTACATATTCTTTTGTCTTTCCTGTCCTCTTTTTTTCTCTTTTTAAGAGATTTTGTGTCAACCACCTCAACAAATAGCCAATGGAGAATTCACCAATAGCCACAAAGATACATTTGAATATAATGAAGTAGTAACTTACAGTTGTAAGCCTTCAGATGGACCAGATGAATATTCCCTTGTTGGAGAGAGCAAGCTTGTTTGTTCTGGGCGCAACCAATGGAGCCCTGACCCTCCTGAGTGTAAAGGTAATAATATTTCTACTTTTTACCCTCTCATTTGTAAATAGTGTGGAAAGGTTTACCAACTTTTAAATAACTTGGCCAACATATAAAAAAATTAAAACAAAGTAATTTGTTTCTAACTTAACTTTAAGCATGTCAAATAATAAACACTAGTTCTACTTTTAGAGTTTCCCACTCTTCATTCCACATGTTCTTGGCATAACTGTTTATATATTGTTAATGATTATGTATATACATGAATTAAAAATATTTTTTTTTGCCTTCAGAGCCTCAAAAAACACACACTGGCTTTAAGAAAGTTTTATCCTTCATTTTTCTTTAAACCTTAATTGTTGACAATACTACAGATGTCCCCTGTTTCCCCCACCGTTGCCCTCTCATCCAGTTCCCACCCCACCCCAGGCTTTCACCATCCTATTGTCTGTCCATGGGCTATGCATATATGCATATAAGTTCTTTGGTTACTCTCTCTCTGCTCACTTCCTCCCTCCTTCCCTCTGAGATTCTACTGTCTGTTCCATGTTTCCATACCTCTGTTTCTATTTTATTCATCCATTGTTTTTTTTTCTTACAATTCATTGTTTATTTTCATTTTTAGTTTCAATTGTTGATAGATATGTAATTATTGGCATTTAGTTGTTTCTTCTTCTTCTTCTTCTTCTTCTTCTTCCTCTTCTTCTTCTTCTTGTGGAATATCCTTCAACATTTCATGTAATATTGGTTTGGTGGTGATGAATTATATTACTTTTTTCTCTGGGAAGCTCTTTATCTGACCTTCAATTCTAAATGATAGCTTTTCTGGGTGGAGTAATCTTGATTGTAGAATCTTTCTTTTCATCATTTTGAATATTTCTTGTCACTCCCTTCTGATCTGCCATGTTTCTGTTGGGAAATCAGCTCATAGTCATATATGTGCTCCCTTGTAGGTGACTAACTGCTTTTAAGATTCCTTCTTTGTCTTTAACCTTTGACATTTCAATTATGATGTGTCTTCATGTGAACTTCTTTAGGTTCATTGGGTTCATCTTGTTTAGGACTCTCTGTGCTTCCTGGACTTGTAAGTCCATTTTTTTTTCTACCAGGTAGGGAAGGTCTTCTGTCATTATTTATTCAAATAGCTTTTCAATAATTTTCCCTCTCTCTTCTTCTTCTGGCACCCTCATGATGTGAATGTTGGTATGCTTGAAGGTTGCCCCAGAGGCTCCTTAAACTATCTACATATGTTTTTATTCTTTTTGCTGCTCTGATTGGGTGTTTTTTGCTTCCTCATATTCCAAATCACTCAGCATCCTCTACTCTACTATTGATTTCCTGTAAACTATTCTTCATTTCAGATCATGTATCCTTTCATTACTGTCTCATCCTTTTTCATTCTTTGATGTTCTCCGTAATTTCCTGAGAAATTCTCACTAAGTCCCTTGAAGCTATCATTAAGATCCTCAAACATCCTTATAACCATTGTTTTGAACTCAGTATCTAGTGTTTTTGCTTGCTTCCGTTTCTTTTAGTTCTTTTTCTGGAGATTTCTTCTGTTCTTTCATTTGTGACATGTTTCTTTTTCTCCTTATTTTGGCTTCTTCCCTGTGTTTTTTTCTATGTATTAGATAAAGCTGCCATGTCTCCTGCAATTGGTAGAGTGGCCTTGTGTAATAGGTGTCCTGTAGGGCCCAGTGGCTCAGCCTCCCCAGTCACCTGAGCTGGGCACTCTATGTGTGCCCCTGTGAGGGCTGTGTGCACTGTCTTGTTGTAGTTGAGACTTGATTACTGTCGGTACCACTGGGACAAACTGCCCCCAGGCCAATTGGCTGTAAGGACCAGCTGCGACTACAGTGGAAGAGCTGCTGTGCAGAAGACACTCCTATGGAGCAGGACTTGCCTCTGTGGGGCTTGGGTTCTCACTGAGTCTGATCCTTGAGAGTGTTGCTTGTGGATGTGTAGAGTTGTAATCTGGCATGGTTTGAAGCTGTCTACTGGGTGCTCAGGCTCTGGGGGTCCCATGAAGGTGCAAAGTCAGCCACCACCTGGGGCCACCAGTCAGGAACTACAGAGCAATCTTCATATGGCTACTACTTGTGTTGGGCTTGAAGTGCCCAGGAGAAGCCAAGATGTAAAGCAAGTCATGCTAGTACCAATGGCAGGCCTGGGGCCTCTTATTGAGGGGTATGGGGCATGCTGACACCAGCTGCTGCTTGTTTGAGAGATTATAGGAAAGTCTGAAGCCTGAGCCAGGACAGGTGATCCATATGGAAAAGTCACTGCAAACTGTTTGGGTTTGCAAATTGGGGTACAAATTGCATGGGGTGGAATCTAAGTGAATCAGCAGGGAAGAGCAAAGAGTGTGAGCCAGGTTGATGGAAATTCAGGTCCACATTTAAGGAGGAAGAGCACTCTTCTGATTGAAAAGCAGTGCATTATGGACCCTATGTATTCCTCAGATTTAATCTCAAAAGATGTTCTCTTGTATATACTGCCCAGCCATTGTTTTGTTTTGTTTTGTTTTTTGTTTGTTTGTGATTTTTCCCCAAGTCTGCCAAACCTATTGCTGGATCCTGAAATCAATCTAGATCAGTGGTTCTCAACCTTGGCTGCACATTAGAATCACCTGGGAATCTTTTTAAAATCCTGATTTCTGGGCCTCATCCTCTGGAAATTCTGTTTCTTTGTTACTAATGTTGTGGCCCCACCCCATAACAAAGAAACAGAATTTCCAGAGGATGAGGCCCAGAAATCAGGATTTTAAAAAGACTCCCAGGTGATTCTAATGTGCAGCCAAGGTTGAGAACCACTGATCTAGATTGATTTCAGGATCCAGCAATAGGTTTGGCAGACTTGGGGAAAAATCACAAACAAACAAAAAACAAAACAAAACAAAACAATGGCTGGGCAGTATATACAAGAGAACATCGGGTTTGATCCCTGAGTTCCAGTCCAAAATATTTGGAAAACATGACCTTAAGTTCACAGGCCTTTCTATTTCTTGCACATCTCAGTTCTTGCATGTTGTTGATACCTGATACCTTTCTCTCTGCATATGTTTACATGCCTAGCTTCTTTTTAACTTTGAGCTCAAGCATTACCTTATTACAAGAGCCTCTCCTGCCTTTTTAGAAGATCAGGGTACTAAGTCAGTGTAAGCCTGAAATTTGAAAAATTCCCAGCACTGAAAGGCATCAAAAGTGCTTTTGAACGTATCTGAAAATTGTATGTGGTAATCAGATCTTTCTGAAAACTTGTCAGTAATGGGAAAACTTATAGGAAACCAATCATCTATAATGGCAGTCTGTTCTAGGTGGGAAAAGGTTATTAGATGTCTCTATATCTGTTTACCTAGGAAGGAAATGCACAAATAAAGTATTTGTTTGTTTGTTTTTTAAGTTAACATTCTGTCTTCCATTCCTTGCCTCTTTGTTCCCAGGGGAAATTACTAATTTGCACTAGTTTTTCTTTCCCCTGTAAAACAGCTTTCCATTAATTCTGGAATTTCTTCACTTTTCAGTCGTCAAATGTGAATATCCAGCGCTGGAGAATGGGAGACTGTCGTCAGGATTTGGAAAAAAATTTCAGTACAAATCGGAGGTTACTTTTGAATGCCTGGACGGATTTTACCTTGAAGGCAGCAGCACTATTGTCTGTGGAGCTGACAGTACTTGGGAGCCTAAGATCCCAAAATGTATTAAAGGTACAAAGGGGTTTTTTTTCTTTTTTGTTTAGAACTTATTTCTTGGACATTAAATTTCAATGATATGGAATAATGAAAAATGAATAGTTTTTGTAATTAACACTATCTCCTATTCATTCCAATGACAGAAGTGGGACTTAAATTTATGTTTTCATAGTGTCTTCACATATTATGTACATCACACAGGTGTTTAAATTTCTGTTTTCTGGCATTTCTTATGTGTAAAAATGTATAGCAATCATTTTTCAGAGAACATTGAAGCAGGGGAATTTTTATCTAAAAAGATTAAGATCTAAAGGCATAATTCATCATATAAATGAAAAAAAAATGTAGAAATTACCAAGTAGTTGGTCTCATCTTCATTACATATTTTTCAGTGTCAATACCTCTCAGTACAAAACCTACAATTACTAGTCTCAGGTTTAGTAACTTTCTGTTTACATACATTTTAATATAGGTTTATTGATTTCAGAGAGGAAGAAGAAGAGATAGAAACATCAATGATGAGAGAGAATCATTGATCAGTTGCCGCCTGCAGGCCCCCTACTGGGGATTGAGCCTGCAACCTGGGCATGTGCCCTGATCCAGAATCAAACCTTTACCTTCTGGTTCATATGGCAACACTCAACTACTGGGCAACTCTGGCAGGGCTCTATTTCCTTTTAAGATTTTATATGGTTGGATATAGATTGTGCTTTATAACTTATACTAGAGGCCTGGTGCATGAAATTCATGCACAGGTAGGGTCCCTAGGCCGGGCTGGCAATTAGGGCTGATCTGTGGGGTGACCGGTGGGGCGATCAGGGGGGCCCCCGCTGCCACCCACCTTGGCCAGCCTGGGGCCTGTGGGCTGGGGGCAGCTGCTGCATTGAGCATCTGCACCCTGGTGGTCAGTGCACATCATGGTGACCGGTCATTTCACCAGTCGTACCACTGTTCAGTCAATTTGCATATTAGGCTTTTATTATATAGGATAAGTAGTATACAAATATAGATTAGTACAATTTCAAATATTACAGAAAAGTGTACAGAGAAAAACATTAGTCTCCTGTTTCTCTACTTCATTTCCTGAATTAATCACTTAATAGTTTAGTTGTCTTTTTATCTGTTACTGTACATTCATATCCTTATATGAGTAGTTATACATATTTTAGCATGTTTTGTTGTTATTAACCAGAGTTGGAATCATGCTGTTCATATTTTTTTAACCCTCACATTTTACATTTATAGTCTTAGATTGGGATTGCATTTAGATTTATTCCTATCCTTTTAATGATGACTATAATGTATACCATATTTATTTAACTATTTTCCTATCAGTGGTCATTTATATGTGCAGAAGTTTTACGGTAATAAGTGCTTGAATGTATTAATTTTTTTCTCCAATGGCTATGTGTGTTGTGCCTTTATTACAAAAGTTGTAGGTCTTCCCCATGCTGAAATTATATAAAAAATCCAGCCATATGTTCTGATTGCATTCTTTACATTTAAATCACTTGGTATATACATCTAATGTCTTCTCTCCAACTGTTTGAAGTGCCGGTTTTTAACATACAGTAAATTCATAGGAGTTATAGTTGTCTCTCTGTTCCCATGAACTCTGTCCATTCCTGTCCCAACAACAAATCTTCTATTTTTCACTGTATTACAGCGATAAGTTAAAATTTTTATTAAATTTATTGGGCTGACACTAGTCAATATGATCCTGTGGTTTTCAGGTGTGGGTTTCTATGTAACAAGATCGGTCTATTGCTCCATGTGACTGTCACTCAAAGGCAAGTATTCTTCTGTCACCTTATATTAGGACCTCCTTCTCCTCTCCCTACCCACTTCCATCTTGCAACCACCACACTGGTGTGTGTGTTCACGAGTTCCAGTTTTATATCCCACATATGAGTGAAATCATATGATTCTTAGCTTTTTCTGACTGACCTATTTCATTTAGCTTAATATTCTCAAGGTCCATCCTGTTGTTGTTGCAAATGGCAGTATTTCATCCTTTCTTCTGGCTGAGTAGTATTCCATTGTGTATATGTACCACATCTTCTTTCCCCACTCCTCTACTGCAGGACACTTTGGTTGTATCCATGTCTTAGCCACCCTGAATATAATGCTGCAATGAGCCTAGGGGTGCACATATCTTTGCCAATACATGATCTTGAGATTTTCGGGTATATACCCAGGAGAGGGATTGCTGGGTCATATGGTAGCTCTATTCTTAATATTTTGAGGAATCACTACACTACTTTCCATAGTGGTTCTACATCCCCACAAGCAGTGAATGATGGTTCCCTTTTATTCACAATCTCTCCAACACTTATTGCTTGTCTTGTTGAATGTGGCCACTCTAACAGGTGTAGTAGTATCTCATTGCAGTTTTCATTTGCATTTCCCTAATTGCTAGTAAGATGGAACATCTTTTCATATATCTGTTGGCTCTTCATATGTCTTCTTAAGACAGGTGTATTTTCAGGTCCTCTGCCCGCTTTTTGATTGGGTTGTTTGTTTGTTTGGTGTAGAATTTTATGAGCTTTTTAAAATATTGGATATTAAACCTTTGTTGGAGCTACTGTTTGCAAATATCATCTCCAAACTGGTTGGCTGCCTCTTTGTATTGTTGTCAGTTGCACAGAAGCTTTTTAGTTTGATAATAAAATAGGAGAACTGGTTGGCTGCCTTTTTGTATTGTTGTCAGTTTCTTTTGTTGCACAGAAGCTTTTTAGTTTGATAATAAAATAGGAATAGAAGGAAAGTATCTCAATATAATAAAGGCCATATATTATAAACCCTCAGCTAATATCATACTCAATGGTGAAAAACTGAAAGCTTTTCCTCTAATATCAGGAACAAGACAAGGATGTCCACTCACCACTTTTTTCCAACATATAGTGCTGGAAGTCTTAGCCAGAGCAATAGGCAAGACAAAGAAATAAAAGCCATCTAAATATGGAAGGCAGAAGTCAAAACTGTCACTTTTTGCAGACGACATGATCCT